TGCTTTACCACTGAGCTACATTCCAAGTCCTTTTTATCTTGAGACAGGGTCTTGTTAAATTGCTGAGGCTACCCTTGAACTTATGATTCTCCTGCTTAGCTTCCCAAGTTGCTGAAATTACAGGCACATGCCTCCATGCCCAGTAAGTTCTATTTTTTATAAAAGAAAACTGTCTGGGGTCTGGGATCAAAAGCTACCATCTTTTTTTAACTAATTTTTAAAAATTTATATATGACAGCGGAATACATTATAATTCATTTTACACTATAGAGCATAATTTTTCATATGAAAAAACTTAAAACTTTAGATAATGATGACCATCACATTCCACCATCATTTCTAACCCCATGTTCCATCCCTTCCCCTCTCACCCCTCTGCCCTATCTAGAGTTCTTCTATTCCTCCAATGCTCTCCTTCCCTCCCTACCCGACTATGAATCAGCCTCCTTATATCAGAAAAAACATTCAGCATTTTCGGGGGCGGGGGGGGGATTGGCTAACTTCACTTAGCATTATTTTCTCCAACTCCATCCATTTGCCTGCAACTGCCATGATTTTACTCTCTTTTATTGCTGAGTAATATTCCATTGTGTATAAATGCCACATTTTTTTTTATCCATTCGTCTACTGAAGGGCATCTAGGTTGGTTCCACAATTTAGCTATTGTGAATTGTGCTGCTATAAACAATGATGTGGCAAAAGCCACCATCTTAAGAAAAAACTGGATACTTCTTTTTTTTGGTGCCAAAGATTGAACCCAGGGTACTTAACACTGAGCCACATTCCCAGCCATTTTTTATATTTTATTTTGAGACAGGGGGGTCACTAAGTTGCTTAGAGCCTTTTGCTAAGTTGCTAAGGCTGGGTTTAAACTCACGATCCTCCTGCATCAGCCTCCCAAGCTGCCAGGATTACAGGTTTGCATCACTGTGTCTGGTTGGATACAAAATAATTTTTTAGTTGTAGATGGACACAATACTATTTATTTATTTATTTATATGTGGTGCTAAGGATTGAACCCTGTGCCTCATATGTCCAAGGCAAGCGCTCTGCCACTGAGCCACAATCCCAGCCCTGGATACATGTTTTGACAACTACAAAGAGGACAATCTTAAACTGGGACAGTGTGGACAAATATCAGTGATAATCAACAAAGAAAAAAGAAAAGTAAAATGTGTTATAAGAGTTACAAAACTGGGTTCTGTTTTGCCACTCACTATCCAAGTGATTTTTAAAAAATTTACACAGAATAAAATTAACTTTTTTCTCTCTTGCAGCTCATTTGTAGTCAAACACCTCCCGCTGTCCCAGTCCCTGGCAATATGTGATCACGGATTCATTATTCATCCAATCATTTCTGCTTCTCTTTTTTATTTATTTGTTTTTATTTTTTATTTGATCTAATTAGTCACACATGAAAGTAGAATGTACATATCATTGTGCATATCATTTCTCCTTTTCTCTTTTCTTCTTCTTTTTATTTTTTTAGTTGTAGATGAATTCAATATCTTTATTTATTTATGTGGTGCTGAGGATTGAACCCAGTGCCTCACGCATGCAAGGCAAGTGCTCTACCACTGAGCTACAACCCCAGCCCTCTCCTTTTCTTGATATCCATATTCCCTGAGTCTTTTTCTTCACCCATTAAATTATGTGAGTGTGTACACACGTATATTTCATGGGTGAAAAAAACATATATAGAGATGCAATCTTCTTTACATTAAAATATTAAGCTATGTACGATGATTGCTGTGGCTAATTAACATGGTGTATAACAAGCATCCCTTCTATGGTTTATTTTAAAAAGGCTTTCTCTAAGTTGACTAATATCCAACTTTAAAGATTCTACATCTCAAACTTTTCAGGCTTCTCCAGAAGGGCAGCTCCAGCAAGATTCCTGCCCACCACCAGGAACTGTATTCACTCCTACAAAATTATAAGCTCCAAAATGTTCCTTAACATCTTGTGTTGTCTTTCCTCAGTTTGCCATAGTGCATTACTAAGCAGTCAAGTGCAATTTTCTTTCATTATTCTTTGCTAAAGGTCTTCCAAGATTGTTCTAGCAGCTTGCTATTTATGAGCATAGCTTTTTCACTCAATGCCTAAAGGTAACACCAATGACACTTATATCAACATGTTAGCTAGAATAGATAGAGGCAGCCCTCACTCCCACCTAAATAGATCATCTAACGTTAAGGAGCTCACTGCCCTGGCTTAAACTGGGACAGTGTGGACAAATATCAGTGAGGGGTTTTAACAGTAGTACATCATAAGAATGCTATATATCACATCAGAAGAAAAAGAAATCAACTACACATAGAATAAGAGACACCTAGTCTAATAGCAGCTTCACAGTAAGATCTTGATATGTTAGTCATCAATGTGGCACAGTTCTTTTTTTTAATTTAATTTTTTTTTATTAGGCACAGTTCTTTTTTTAAGCTCATACTATTTTTTTAAAATATTTTTTACTTGTTGATGGACCTTTATTTTATTTATTTGTATGTGGTGCTGAGAATCGAACCCAGTGCCTCACACATGGTAGGCAAGTGCGCTACCGCTGAGCCACAGCCCCAGCCCTTAAGCTCATACTATTATATGGCTCTTTTGAGGTCCACCAATGAATTCCATTTTACCAATTCCAAAGGTCAATTCTCAATCTTACTTTAACCTTGGAGCAGCATTTAACAGCATCCTTTTTGTGTTACCTTTCTTTTCCTCACTTGAAATACTCTTGTTCACCTCCTACATTACCAGTTCCACTCTCCAATCTCCTTTAAGACTGATGAATACCAAATTTATATTTCTGGTATAAACCTTTCCAACAAAACCCAAAATCTCATAGACATCTGTCTCGTTATTATAGAAACCCCTACTTCCATCATCCTACCCAAATCTGCTTTTCCTGTAGTTGTCCCCATCTCAGTTCATGTCAACTTCTCCTTCCAATTGCTCAACCCAAAAGCTTTGGTTGATTCTTTTTTTAAATTTTGATCTTTTTTAGATATACATGACAGCAGAGTATATTTTGACATATTATACATACATGGAGTATAATTTATTCTAATTAGGATCTCATTCTTGTGGTTATAAATGATGTGGAGTTGTCATGTATTCATATATGAACATAGGAAAGTTATGTCCAATTCATTCTACTGTTTTTCCTGTTCCAATCTCTCCTCCCTTCCCTTCATTTCCCTTTGTCTAATCCAATGAACTACTACTCTTCCTGTCCCTACCTACCCTGACTTGTTGTGGGCGAGCATCCACTTATCAGAGAGAACATATGACCTTTGGTTTTTTGGGGACTGGCTTATTTTTTTTATTAATTCTTGATTCCTCTTTTTTTTTTTTTTTTTCCATTGCCTACATCCATTCCATCAGTAAATCCTGCTGGCTTCATCTAAAATGTACCCAGAATCTGAACAGTTTTCACCACTTTCCATCATCTCCCCTGAGGATTGCTGCAATAGTCTTCCCCCTCCCCACCCTGCCAATCTTGGGAATTGTCTATTTTCTGTAGTTCTAGACATCTCATTTCCAACAGATACTTTGAATGCATCACATGTACAAGAATGAAGGGGTAGGTACAAATAAAGAACAACTGAGAAAGTCTTGATGGAACAAGGTGGAAAGGGGGGGGGGGCAGAAAAAATACTCCCAAGGTGTGAGAAGGAGGAGGGAGTGGCAGGGTAAGGTTGGAGACCGGTCCTAACCTTTGTTTTGTCTCTGGACACACAGATCCTGGTCTGGCACATTCAAATAGAAAAACCAGTGTTAATGAATGAGGGGAAGAAGGGCTTCACTGACCCCTCAGTGGAGATCTGAGCCTCAGGATGGGGGTAGGAAAGAGACCAGGGAGGGCTTGCAATGGTCTTTTAAATGGTCTCCTTACTTTCAACCTTGAGACCTCAACTCCACAGTCTATTCTCCATACTGAAACCAGAGAGATCCTTTTAAAACATTCATTCATTCTAAGATTATTTACTGAAATTCATCTACATGTGAAGTACTATTATAAGTGCTTAGAATACTTCCAAATGAAGAGATAAAAATGTCTATCCTCATAAAGTTTATGCATCCTGGAAGGGGACAGGCAATAAACCAAAAATATAATAAATAAATTATAAAACTGGTCCCTAATGCCACAGGAAAAATACAAAGCCAGATAAGAGGAAGCAGTATTAGGGAAAAAAGGACTTTTAGATTCAAATAGGGAGAGAAGTCCAGAGAGCACTGGCAAAGTAAATTTTGAGCAGAAACTTGAAGGAGGTAAGATATCAGCCTAGCAGATATCTGGGGGAAGAACATTCCAGGTAGAAAAGATATTAATGCTAAGTCTCTCACATAATATTAGTTTTTGTTCCTTAGACCTTTAACTGATCATATGATGGGCTGAAAGAGACAAGATTTTTAAACTTGTTTGTGTCTAATTATTGCATATATTTTATCTTGAATATTTTCCTAATAAGGTACAAATGCCTTTTAAGAAATAATAAATTGGGCTGGGGGTATAGTTCAATGGTAGAGCACTTGCCTAGAATGCACAGGCCCCATTGAGGCCCAGCACTGCGCACACACACAAAAAAAACAGTAAACACAGAAATGAAGTATTAAAAACTACTCATACAATCAAACTTCACCTTTTTCTAAAATTCATTTAGGATTTTCAACTTTCATTTCACTGAGTTTATTTTATGGCCCAGAAAAAGCAGTTAGAAAGGTTTGTATTTTTTTATACGTACATATGACATATATAATAGGAAAAAAATAAGTCTATCTTAAATGAGAGGTCACCCAGATTTAGCTTGCTTAGAATACAAACATTTTTCAAATATAAATACAGACTGATTTTTCAGATTAAGCCAATTATAAAACTAATGATAAGCACTGTCATCAAATTTATTAACAAAATAAAATTAGTACAAAATTATGGATTTTTAAAAGCTTGTTAGTTTCTACATAATTGGATGAGACTAGCATAATTTTTTTTTTTTTACCTTCCGGTGGTCTGTTAGATGTTGCCACAACAACGACCCCATTTTTGAACAGATTTTCAAAAAGCTGTTTCAAAATCATGGCATCAGCAATGTCAGTGACCTATGGACAACAACACATTTGTTTTATTTTAATTTCACTTCTGCTCTAACAAATTTGCTAATGGTTCATTTTTTTAAGATGGAAGTGAATTCCAAGAAAAAAATTCTAATTATCATCATGAGGAAAAAAGTAGATAATTAAAAGCATGAAAGATTATATAACAGTCTTTTAAACTTGACTCTTCCTTCTTTGCAAGCCTATCATTTCAACACAAATTATCAAATGGTTCTATGTTAACTTCTTTTATAGAACTACAGGTGGAAAGCATGGATAATTGTCCTTAAACATTTAGGAAGTCTATTTAATTAGAACACGACCAACACCCCCCTCCTGCTGCCACTCACCCTACCCCCCAAAAAAGGAGAGAAAGAGTGAAAAAAGAGAAAAATAATAATAAAATGCCCAGGCTGTGATTTCTAATACCTTTCTGGCAAAGGTCCCTGGAAAGGTGACTTTAAATGGTCATGGGACTTTAGAAATAAGGACAAGTAGCCAGTGAGACATAATCAGCTGCTGTTGAAAATAGAATGATATGACATAGATACTATTGTGCAATTGTTGCACAAAACAATTCAACAGATGGCCCATCACAAAAATAAGCAATTTCATTGTTCTTTTTAAGTGCCTTCTATTACTGTCCATGAATAATCAAAAGGCACTGCAGTCACTTCCAGCACAGCCAGCCTCTGCTAACCTTCGCAAACACAAATATTCCTTCTACCAAAAAAAGCCCTTTCTAGAAAACGGTTAATACAGTGCTTTAAAAATATGACTCCTGACAAAACTAGAAATGTATAATGCAGATAAAACTATCCTATCTAAGCTAGGTTACAAAGAAATATAACTACTGTTTTTTTCTAAAATTATTTTTTAAATTCACAATTAAAAAGTTAGCTTAATGATAACTTTTTTAAACGGCTTTTAAAATTCACAAAGACATATAACAATTAAAAAGGAAAGATGAATTTAAAAACAAATGTATAATGAAGGCAAATATTAATCACTGCAACTTCCCCTAAGTATATAACTTGTGTTTTAGATCCTCAGTGTAAAAATGTTTTGATCTTTCTTTAATAGCACATTATTATTCAATAGTCTCAATAAAACTTGCTTTATATATACTCACTAAATATATTACAATACTATTTTAAAACCCTGTTAGGGGACATAGAAGCTAGTGGAATTCTTTCAATTTGATCAACTAAATACTAAAAGTTACCAACTAAACAGTTGTAACACAACTAGTATCAACCTGGGTTGTACAGGTCTACATTACCTTTCTCCTTATTGTTGATAACTTATTCAAAAGTTTAGTAATTTCTTTCCCACCTGAACTAAACCAAACAAAACCATGACTGTGACATGCACAAAAAATTTTTTCTGGGGCTGGGGCTGGGGCTGGGGCTCAGCAATAGCACACTTGCCTGGCATACGTGAGGCATTGGGTTCAATTCTCAGCACCGCATATAAATAAATAAAATAAAGGTCTATCAACTAAAGAAAATATTTTAAAAAATTCTGTCTCAGGCTATATAGTGAAAACATATTACTAAAATACTGAAGAGTTCTTAAATTTAAAAGACTCCAGGAACTTCAAAAAAGTGATTTAAACAAAAAGGAAAATGGGACTGATATTATTTAATTTGGAGCTTAGGATCATTGTCAAATTTTGCTCCCGCAAAAACACAGAGAAGGTTCTTTTCAAATGCTTAAACACCAGTGGCATTGCTGATGAGAGGAGAGAACAAGCTTGCAAATTTTAGTAGCAACTGCACTTTTAAAATTGGATTCCCAGTACATTCATTTAAAAAAAAAAATCAATTGACGGTTACTCAATTTTAGAGAATAAAAACAGTCATTTAACTACACCGCAGTTTTAGAAAAAAATTAAAAGGAGTCTTTGTGCCCCAAGATTCAGAAAAGTGAAAGGACATTTAGCTTATAACACAGTGCAAAGGTTTAAGCTGAAAATTGAAAAAAGCAAATAGTAGAAAGCTGTGATCAAGTTATACTTTGTTGTTTTTATATTGCTGGATGTCTTTGCCCTGTCTGAGTAAATAAACTTGGAGAAGCTATGACTAATTAATAAGGCAGGAGTCACTTGGTGTAGCTGAGTGCCAATGTATACTCTTTTGATCTGTCCCCGCACTTGTTCAGCTTTGCTGGGGAACAGTAATTTTACAGTATAAGTGAACAGAAGACAATTGGCCCCACATTCTTGGAGAGCTGGCATTTTCAGCACCCAGCATTTCATTACCACCAGGAACAAAAGAGAAGGCTACAGATTACCAATAAGGGTAGTCTGCTAATAGAGAGTGGAGACATTTCATTAGCATTAAAGAGAAGAGATTTTTTTATGACCTAGAGTTGCTTTCCATTATGACTCACTTAAGTAAAAAAGAAAAAAAAAAACTAATGCTTAATTTACATGTGTAAGTGCTTGAGTCTCAGTCATCCACTGATTGGTACAGTGCCATGTAATGAGTGACAAACATAAGCATGCATTATCAGTAATTAGTATTAGCACAAAAATAAGCACTATTTTTATTAGCAGTTTTTAATAGCTTTCCTGCTTTATAAAATAGTTAAAACTATTTTTTAAATGATATTGATAGCTTATAGAGGAGAATTTTGCATGTATTCTTCTCATCAGAATTTTTTTGGACCATATTAGTAAAACATCTATTCAGTTTTCCTAAAAAGAAACACAAAGACATAATTTAAAAAAAAAATCAGTTTCCCTCAATATTCTGATACCTTCGAAATTATAAATGGTTTAACAAGTAACATAAATATTCAAAGAGGACATAATAAAGATCCTAAAGAAAACTTTGAGCACAAGCTATTATTTTATTTCTGCAACTAAAACACATAAAAAACAACTCTGTAGACACATTTCTCAACCGAAGAATAGTGCATGTCATACCACAGGCAAAACTGAAACACCACACTTAGCAAAGACGATAAAGCTAATGAAGAATACATTCAGCAAATGCAATCCAAATGCAAACCAAAACATGATCTTAAAAATTCCTTAAATTAAAGAGCACAATAAAAGGATATATATCCTTGTTTTTAAGCTGCAGTAATTCTCATTCCTCTCCCTAGTAAAATAAGTATTATATTAATTAACTCACATAAGGCTAATAATAATTGGCTAAAAATCAAGACCACTAATATGATTCCATTTTAAATGTAAAATGGTGATTATAGACATACTGTTGCCAAGAATAAAGCACCTAAAAAATCTTTTCTAATATATCAGCAAGTATTGTACTAGGTTTAATAGGCTTAAGGAAAATTTTTAGGTTCTATCATTAGAAAATCTACCAAAATCCCACTCAGTCTATATATTTAAAGACATAATCTAAGATTTTTTAATACAAAGGAAAAATATAACTAATACTAGTAAGAGTACTAATGCTGGATTTAAACAATTGGTTACCAGGTATGTGACCATGGTCAAATTAACCTCTCGAACCCTCAATTTCATTTCCTCATCAAAATAATGAAAGCAATAATAATACCTACCTTACAAAATTGTAATCAGACACATATTAAACTTTCAAGAAATATTAACTATTACCTATTATCATTACCTATATAGTATGTATGCTGATAAAATTTTACATTAATTATGTCCAGTTGTATAGAATGTTAGCTGTAATGAAATAACACATAGCACAGGACAGTAATTAGTAGGCACATAGAAAGCACTCACTAAACACTAGCTAATATTTAGAATACATTATTGAATATATATATATTATAGAATATGTATAGAATATACATAGAATAATAGGGGTTGGGGTGTAGCTCAGTAGTAGAGCATGTACCTGGCATGCATGAGGTCCTGGGTTCAATCTCTCCAGCACCACACACATAAAAAAAATAGAAAGAATATACGTAATAGATGAAATGTACATTCCAATAAATAAATGGGAAATACCTCAAACAGTTCATGAAAGATTAATTTAACTAGTTATTAAACTACCTAAATGAATATAAATTAAAACAATGAATTATCATTTTTTATCTACTATGTTAGATAAAAATGTTCAGATAATTCAGAATGTTGACAGGAAAAATGTAGGTTAAATTTGTAGCATATCTTGGGTTCTGTAAATGCTGATTTTGCTTGATAAACACTATAATATGCAAGGGGAATGGGACTTAATTAACTCACATAAGGCTATTACTTCAATAGTTATTATTTGGTCCTAGGATTCATTTATTAGAATCTATTCCTTCATTCACAGGTACTATTCTAGACACTTAAGATACATCAGTTAATAAAATAAAGATCCATACATTCAAGTTTCTACTCTGTAGAAGAATACAGATAAACAATAAACATAATAAGCAAATTATGTGTTAGAAGGTGATAAGTGTCATGGGAGAAAAGGAGGGTAAGGGGCTTCAGAAGTGCAGAGGTGGGTAAAGGGGCTCTACCACTGCACTACATCCCCAGCCCTTTTTATATTTTATTGAGACATGGGTCTTGCTAAGCTGCTCAGGCTCACCTTGAACTTAGCGATCCTCTTGCCTCAGTCTCCTGAATACCTGGGATAAGGGCGTGCACCACTGCACTTGACACAAACTTCAATTTTAAATAGGGTTTTAGCATAAGCTTTATTATTCAGATTTTTCCCTGAAACAACAGGGAGAAGAACACAGGCCTACACCTGTAATCCCAGTGGCTCAGGAGGCTGAGACAGAAGATTGCAAGTTCAAAGACAGCCTCAGCAATTTAACAAGGCCCTAAGCAATTTTTTTGGTGGAGGTATTGGAGATTAAACTCAGGGTCACTCAACCACTGAGCCACATCCCCAACCCCATTTTGTATTCTATTTAGAGACAGAATCTCACTGAGTTGTTTAGAGCCTTACTTTTGCTGAGGCTGGCTTTCAACTCATGATCCTCCTGCTTCAGCCTCCTGAGCCACTGGGATTATAGGTGTGCACCACTGTGCCTGGCTGGCCCTAAGCAACTTAATGAGACCCTATCTCTAAGTAAAATATAAAAATAGTCAGGATATGGCTCAGTAGTTAAGCACTCCTGGGTTCAATCCCTGTACCAAAAAAAAAAAAAAAAATAGGTCTCATTAAGAAGAAGATAACTAAGCAAAGATGTGAAGAAGTGATGTAGCTATTCTTACCAGCTATGTGGGAGTATAACGGGATAAAACAAAGGTTGCTGGCTGGGCATTAGAATACCACACACAAACAGCTCAAGCCTGTGGCCAGAGGTTCACTGCAAGTATTTCTCCTATCTAGAAAACTGGGCTAAGCTGAGCATGGGCGGGACCTGTAGTCCCAGCTATATGGGAGGTTGAGGAGGGAGGATTACTTGAGCCCAATAGTTCAGGACCAGCCTGGGCAGCATAGGAAGACTCCATATCTCCCCGCGCCCAAAAAAAAAAGTGGGTTTCCCAAACCCAACTCCTTGCTTTATATGACCATTCAGACTTTTGCCCTCAAACTTAAAAACAACCCCCATTTCACTCCCCTATATACTTCTAGTTGCCATGTTCACTCTCACTTGCCCCCTCCTCCCCCACCTCTTGGTTCTTCATGGTACCCTCTCTGACCAGGATATAGAAGTAATAAATCTTTTAACTTATTTGCTATTGTTATGGCACACTGAATATGCACCTTGCACCCTGAAGAACCAGGAGTTACCCCAAGCTAGATTTTTCCCTGAAACAACAGGGAGAAGAACACAAGGTCAAGCTTCTAGCATCACAGCCATGGCCAGGCATACAAAATTCAAGTTTGGAATTATATAGGAGATTTTAAAAAAAGCCAAGCTATCAGCATTTTTCATTCTAGGATATCAAGGTCAATCGTGCTCAAGGGAGGATCTCCCATGTGGTCAATTCTAACACACTAGAATGCTACACTAAATTGGGGATTGAATAGAAGGAATCAATTTGTATTTAGTCTTGTTTTGTTATCTCTGCATATTTTGTCTCCAGCCCTTCTGGGAAAAAAGTATTTGATATAACATCCAACTATTAACTGTGGTTCCCACCTATGAAGAAAATAGGACTGGGAACAATAGGGAGCAATGAGTAGGGCTGCACATATGGAAGATAAGGTCAGAGAAAAAAATAGCATTTGAGCTAGAGAAATGACACTAACATATTCCCCGCTTAGAGTATAAGCCCTTTCGAGTATAAGCCCTTGCCTGTTCTGTTAACTTGCAGCCAAAAGTGTGCCTCATCTTTGCTATTCTTGGGCTTAGTTCACAGAGATTTCCCTATATTCTGTAAAAGATAGTATAAACATTGGTAAGAAGTATGGTAAGGAAATGTCACCCTTATTAATATAAAATCTGTTGCATCAGAAATAGAGGGAGCTTTGCCGGGTGCAGTAGACATGCCTGTAATCCCAGCAGCTCAGGAGGCTGAGGTAGGAGGATCGTGAGCTCAAAGCCAGCCTCAGCAAAAGCAAGGTACTAAGCAACTCAGTGAGACCCTGTCTCTAAAGAGAATACAAAATAGGGCTGGGGATGTGGCTCAGTGGTTGAATGCCCCTGAATTCAATTCTGGTACAAAAAAAAAAAGAAAAGAAAGAAAGAAAAATATGGGGAGCTCTGCAGAGTCTGCAGTTGTCAAGGCAGCACTAGCCTCTTTCCCTTAAGATCTGACTTGGGCTTTAGTTCTCCTGAAGCAACAGATTTTTATATTAAGGAAGATGACATTTCCTCACAATACTTCTTACCAATGTTTATACTATCTTTTACAGATCAGAGGGAAATCCCTGTGACATAGAAATAGGAGCAAAATACAAGTGAAGAATTCAGTTCTCATCAAAATTCTGTTTGCAAGAAATAGGCACATGAGAACCAGCTAAAGGCATAAGAGGCTCCCAGGTGGGGACAGCACTAATGGCACCTCATGGGAACTAGAGCAGAGGACAGGGTTAGGATTGGAGATGCTCTGGAGAGCTCTGCAGCTGTCCAGGCAGCACTAGTCTCCTTCCCTTAATGTGATTCAGTTTCTTTCTATGTCTCTTTGTTCCTGTCTCATTACTAAACAGGAACTTCCCTATGTGCCAATTAGCTCAAATTTATGAAAAAGAAGATATAACTGGACCATTCCCCAGGCCACACCACAGAAGTCCAAGGTTGCTGACAAGCTTATGGACAATGAATAGATCAGATGTCCAGGCCTAGTCCATTTAGCTATGGGACAGACAGAGTCTGGTGATATGGAATAAGGTTCTTTAAGGTAACCTGGATGAAAGAGTAAACAAGTGAAAAAATATCAAGCCAAGTCTGGATGGCATAGGCAAAACAGACACCTCCATAACCTCTGCTTTCTCTCTGCTAGCAAGCAACGTTTTAAGGGCCTGTCTCCCATGGATCTCCCTCATACTTAATACGTAATTGAAAAACCCTTTATCTTACCTGTACTGCTGTGGAAAACTGGGCCCATTTGGAACATTACTATCCTGATAGTTACTTTTGATTCCTTTGTCCCAGAAATAAATCACCCTTTTGAAATCTGAACGCACTGGAGAACACCCAGGGCAAGGGTAAGTTTTTGTTAGGACTTCATTATCAGGGAGGCATTATGACTTTAGGGAAACTCTAGGAACTTTTACCTTCATGAGCTCCTTCCTCAATAAAAATATAAGTGTATATATAATTTATGTTAGTATAAAAACAAATAGAATACAGATATAGACACACAAAGCCTGGCTCATTACTGCATATTCACTTATTTCTTCAAATTTTAAAATAAATCAAATCAACTTTCATTAGTTCCTAAAAGAATCATGGTACCTAATGGGTAAAGTGGCCCTGCTTGTTCTCTATCTTCTTCAGGATCATGGGCTTTTGCATATCCAAAGTTTTATAGTTCCCTAACTCCTTAGTCTTGCCTTTCAAAGTCCTTCATGCCATAGAAACATGCAAATCATTTCTCTGAATATTTTGAAATTCTCATGGTTATAGTTAAAGTTAATGATGCTTTCATGAGACCTAGGAAATTCCAGTGCCTTTAGATTCCTCACCTCTATGTAGGGAAAATAATAACTAGTTTATAGAATTCAGTGAAATAAAAATGCAGAAACACATTTAAAACCATGAATCATTTTAGTAAAATTGGGTATATTTTTTTGTTGGTACCAGGGATTGAACCCAGAGGCACTCTACTACTGAGCCACATCCCCAACACTTTTTATTCTTTATTTAGAGACAGGGTTTTTACATTGCTGAGACTGGCTTTGAACTTGAGATCCTCCTACTTCAGCCTCCAGAGCCACTAGGATTACAGGCATGTGCCATCAAATCAGGCTCAAAATACTTTTTAAATAAATTAATTTAAAATTAAAAATTAGGGTTTTAGGATGTAGCTCAGTGGTAGAGCAGCACTTCCCTAGCATGCATGAAGCCCTGGGATCAATCCCTAGAACTGAAAAAAAAAGTAGATGTGCACGTGCAGGTAGAAAGAGAAAGGAAGAGAGGAAGAGAGAAGGTGGGAGAGGGAGTGGGGCGGGATAAGAATGAATCTTTTCTCATGGGCTACAGAGAAGCAGATGCCATAGAGAAGCAAGTGAAGCAAATAAGTCAGACTTGTCCTGTGTGGACCATGGTGTACCAACGCCCAAATAAGACAGTAAAACCCCCAAATAAGACAGAAAAGAGAATATGTACCATTCTCCATTTATGAAAAATTTCTACTTTACCTGAAATTCATCAAAACACAAGAGACAGGCTTCATGACTGATTTCTTCAGCTATGGGAGCGATTGGGTCATATGATTTAGTCATGAATCCTTGTTTCCTTTTTGGCAAATTCTTTTTAAGGCGGTGTATTCCTCAAATGGGGATAAAATAAAATACAGACCAAATATTACATTAATAGTACACTGTGAACAATTATCACATTTTTAAATCACTAGATAAAACTATTTGGGGGTACCGAGGATTGCATTTAGGGGCACTTGGCCACTGAGCCACATCACATCCCTAGCTCTATTTTGTATTTTACTTAGAGACAGGGTCTCACTAAGTTGCTTAGAGCCTCGCTGTTGCTGAGGCTGCTGGGATTATAGGCATGCACCACTGTGCCTGGCTATGAAACTTTAATGTGGAATAAATTAAATTTAAAAAACATAAATCAAATTTTTTTTGGTGGTACTAGGGACGCTTTATGACTAAGCTAAATTCCCTGAACTTTTCATTTTTTATTTTGAGACAGGATTTTCCTAAATTGCCCTGGCTAGCCTCCAATTTACAGTCCCCTCTTGCCTCAGCCTTCCAAGTCACTGGGATTATAGACATGCACCACCATGTCTGGCAGATCAAATTTGATTATTAAGATTGGTTGCATTGGGGCTTAGTTTGTGGCTCAGTGGTAGAGCGCTTGCCTAGGACATCTGAGGCACTGGGTTCAATCCTCAGCACCACATAAAAATAAAGAAAGAAAGAAAGAAAGAAAGGTATTATGTCCATCTACAACTTATATATACATATACACATATTAATATATATTTTCTTTAAAAAAAAATTGGTTGCATTTTCTCCACCCCAAAATAAATTGTTGAAAGATTATTATAGGCTTAAAGTAGTAAGAAAATTTCAAGGTCATTCCATCTCCATTCTTTAATCATTCAGAGATGACAAAATGATAGGTAACCAAATGGATCAACAAATTGATCTCAATCCTGAGGATTTCAGTGATGGAGGCTGTGATCCTACCCAAGGAGTATAAGTTATATCTAGCAAATCTAATCAGAATACTCCCTTGTCTCTGACCTAAGGCACTAACATGAGTCCCACTTCATTAATCGCACCATACTAAGTGCTAAAAGAATTAGAGAGGGCTGGGGTTGTGGCTCAGCAGTAGAGCACTCACCTAGCACGTGTGAGGCCCTGGGTTCTAAAAATACAAACTGAATGCCTCTTGCTGAGATAACACAGAGTAAAGGAACTCATCAAAATAGTAATAATAATAATAACTTCTTGAAACAGGTGTGTTGAAACATTTTTTTAATCAATGTTTAGTAGAAACAGAAAATGTCTGATCTTCATTTATTAACCTTTGTTCTCTAACTGGAAAATACTGAATTCACTTTAAGAACCAACTCCACTCAGGCTTAAAGAAGAATGAAATATGCCATTTGCCAGTAAATGGATGGAGCTGAAGAATAAATATCATGCTAAGTGAAATAAGCCAATTCCAAAAAACCAAAGGCTAAATGTTTTCTCTGATATGCAGATGCTAATTCCAATAAGGAGGGGGCAGTTAGAGTAGAATAGAAGTACTTTGGATTAGTCAAAGGGGAATGAAGGGAAGAGAGAGGGAATGGGAGTAGGAAAGATAGTAGAATGAATCGCACATTACTATCCTACGTGCCTATATGATTACATGTCCAATGTAATTCTACTTGATGTACAACCAGAAGAATGAGAAGTGATACTCCATATATGTATAATATGTCAAAATATAGTCTACTATCATGTATAACTAATTAGAAAAAAAATTTAAATTTTTTTTTAAAAAGCCAACTCCAGATTCAGTACTGTTTCAATATAGCACACACACAAAAAATGAAACCAAATAAAACCTTGCTTCAGGCAAATATCTAATTTTTTAAGAGTGTTATTCACTTAAGAAAACTATTGTTAGAGTATGCCCACTGAAAAATCACTCGGCTTGACTTACTTTTGTGCACATCTAACATGAAACCATGAAAATGGACCCGTTTTTTCCTCTTCATTTCCACATAAGCATAAAACATGTCCATCACCATTGTTTTTCCTGTACCTTCAAAATAAAAAAAAAAATCTTTTTAAAGAATACTATTAAAACAGTATGTGCTGATTGCTGTAATGATTGTTCATTAGGTTTGAGATAATGAAGCCACACTCCTATGGAAAGCTGAAGACTGTGTTACTTTTATAGAGGGGGCTGTTCACTTTATATGTTAAACTAGCCAAGGGAAAAAATGTAGATAATACTTTTTTCAATTATAATCTTGCTTTTAGGAAATATAACATTTAGTCAACACTTCAGGGGCAATTTTCCCTAGAGAACTATGTTCATAACCTGGCAAGATTAACAGATTAAACTTCAGTCTTCTCTTTCAAAAGACATTAGTACAAATAAAATAATTAATTAATTATTGTATTATTACTATGTATAAGGAACTTTTCCAGACACTGGGGGAAAATTCAGAAACAAAAAAAAAAAAAAGAAAAATTAAGAGGAGAAAGGTGAAAAAGAAAGATCAGTACCCAACACAAATATTGAAAATAAATAACAGAGATAGATTAGAGCTAAAGAATAGTCAATTACAATACTTCCCTCTTTAAAAAACTGGGAATTTCAAAATGAGGCCTACTTAAGAAATTCCGATAGTCAATCCTTATAATTAAATTATCTCATTTTCAACACTGAAACTTTTCATCACTACAATTGTATTAGAAATAGAATAGTCATCAGTCTGAGCACTTGTGAACACAAGCATGCACAAAAAGCCTTATTCCCTCACAGAAAACCCAGTGCTCTGGGGACAGTGGCAGTGTCCAAATTCATATTCTAGCACTCCTCAGAAGGCCAGGCCAAAATGTGCTAGCTCTATGTCTCATCCTACCTGCTTCCTGTACCCCACAGTACCCAGGCTCTCCTATTAGGAGCTGCAATTACCAAAAAATCAAAAACAGCTCAGGAAGGAAGAAGATCTGACTCTCATCCTTTGGGTGTTTCCTCTGTTCCACAAGATGATTCTCAGCACATGCCATCTCAGTGCCAGAATTTTTTTTTTTATATGAAAATACAATTCCCAAATGAATTTTTAGTAAAGAGGCCACTTAGATTGAAAAGTAATTTTTTGCGAAAATATTCAATACAGCATCTCTTAATGGAAAGAATGGCAGCAGATTTTTAATCATTACATTTACCAAGGAGTAATAACTTTCAAGTTCTGCTGCATTCAGCATAGGATACTTCTAGATCCAGAAAAATATTTATGAATTATCTAGCCAAAAGTGTGAATAATATATATATTTGAACTTAACATTTGTGCTTTTTTAAAAAATGGGCTTTATATACAATAAGGTCATTATGTAAAGTTTCTGGAGATAAAAGCAAAAGAAGAAATTAGAGGGAGCTGGGAATGTAGCTCAGTGATAGAACACATACTTAGCAAACAAAAGGCCCTGGGTTCAAACCTCAGAACCACCACCCACTCCCCAAAAAGGGGAAAAAGTCATAAAGGGAAAGATTGATTGACTAGGCTACATGAATTTTGACCTCTTGAATTTCAAAAGTCACCATAAGTAAAATTAGTGTTCTTTTATTCATTTAATCAATATACTTTTACTGAATGCCTATAATGTGTAAGATACTGTTTTAAGTGCTTTATGATAGTGAACAAAATTAACAAAACCTACCACTCTGTAGAACCTGAGATTTTAATATATATAAAGATGCAGATATCTTTATTTATACAGACCTTATTACATTTATATATTTAATATATATAATATATATGCATATATATGTGTATATATATACATATATATATATATATATTATCTTATCTTAGAAACTACAATGGACTTTATGTTCTTTTCTTGTCCCTTTTTTCCCCCTCTCCCTGTCTGTTCTAAATCAATTCTTTCTGAGACTGCCCCTTTGGTGACAGCGTCAATCACAGGGTGGATCCACTGAAATACCCATCACCCTTTGCACTGTATGGATGGCACAATTGTGGGCATGTGACTCTTTTAACTCAGCATTCATTAGGGGATTAGTATGGATTCTGAGAATGAGAGTTGTTCTTCTTCCTTTCAAGAAAGCAATCTAGGGCTGGGGTTTGGCTCAGTGGTAGAGCACTTGCCTAGTACATGTGATGCCCTGGGTTTCTCAGCACCACATATTTAAAAAAAAAAAAAGGTCCATTGACAACTAAAAAAAACTTAAAAAGAAAGAAAGCAATCTATAAAATACCAGAAGACATCTTTCCTACAACATCAAAATCATACCTATAATCTCAGGAGCTGGGGAAGCTGAGGCAGGAGGATCATGAATTCAAAGCCAGCCTCAGCAAAAGTGAGGCGCTAAGCAACTCAGTGAGACCTTGTCTCTAAATAAAATACAAAATAGGGCTGGGGATGTGGCTCAGTGGCTGAGTGCCCCTGAGTTCAATCCCCAGTACTGCCCCCCAAAAAAGAATATAATCAACACTAAGGGAAAAAAAGACAGAAAGAGAATGAAGAAAGGGACTGAATTTGAACAAATCAAACTGGCATATAAGTAACCCTCTAAAATCTAACACACATTAAAGAAGAAAACTAAATCCACATCCTCATCAAGTTAATATTTACAATATCAAGTATATAATAAAAAATGAGACAAAGTATTCTTTAGGCTGAAGAAAAAGTGATACCAGATGGAAAGTAAGCACTACAAAGAAATGAAGAATGCAAGAAATGATAAATACATGGGTAAATATTTGTTTTATCATTTTTACATTTCTTTAGACAGTAATTAGCTATTTAAATAACATTAACAATGTATTATAGATTTAGTAATCCACATAGAAGTATAGTCTATGATAATAGCATAAATGTTATTTAATTGGTGAGAGAAATAAAAGAATACTGTTATAAAGCTCTAGATAGCATAACTTGGAGAAAGGATACAATATAATTAAAGTGCATATTTGAAACTTTACAGAAACCAACAAAAGAATCAAACAATAAAAATATGAATAATAAAGATATAAAAAACAAGCAAATCATGTAAGTAACGCAGAAAATTTTTTAAAAAAATTAAACTGAGAACAAAAAAGGTAGAAAAAACATACAAATGGAAGAAGGTAGCCTTAAATTCTACTATGCTGATAAGTTCAAGTGGGCCAAATAATTCAATAAAAAGGCTAACATTGATGGGCAAAAAAAAAAATTATTTATATAATCTCTATAAGACACTCATACAGATAAGTTAAAAGCGATAAAATGAAAAGAAATCTGGGTACAGTAGCACACACCTGTAATCCCAGATAGGATCAAAAGTTCAAGGCCAGCCTGGGCAACTTAGCAAAACCTTCTCTGAAAAAAAAAATAAAAATAAAAATAAAAAGGTCTAGGGTTATAGCTAATGGTGGAATACCCTGGGTACCAAAATAAAATACAATAAATGCTCATATTAGCAAATAAGATTTTAAAATCAATCATTTAAGTTTCTACCTTAGGAAATTAAAAAAGACAGCAAATAAATCCCAAAGTAGTATCACAGTTATTAGGGAGGCTGAGGCAGGAGGATCACAATTTTGAGGCCAGCCTGGCAACTAAGCAATCTCCTGTTTCAAAATGGAGTTAAGGGTATAGCTCAGGCTTGCCTAGCTTCCTGGGCTTGCATAAGGCTCTGGGTTTAATCCCAAATACAAGTAGAGAGAAGAAAAACAAAAAAGGAATAATAAAAAACAGAAATTGGTGGCTGGGGTGTGTCAGCAGGAAAGCACTTGCCTCCCACGTGTGACGCACTAGGTTTGAGCCTCAGCACCACATAAAAGTAAATAAACAAAATAAAGATACTGCATCCATGTACAACTAAAAAATATTTTTTAAAAAAGCAGAAATCAATATACTAAAAACAAAACAATAGAGAAATCAACAAAACCAAAACCTGATCCTTTGAAAACATCAAAAATAATTGGCAAAACCCTCGCTGAACTACCCAAGAAAAAAAGACCTGAAACACAAATTTAACAGTATCAAGAATGAAAGACAGTATCACTATAGTTCCTAAAGATGTTAAGCATAATAAGAAAGTATTATAAATAATTTTCTGTCAATAAATTCAACTTAGATAAAGGAGTAAATTTCTTTAAAGACATAAAATGGCAAAACTGGAATAAAAGATAGAAAATCTAATTAACTTCACATTTATTAAAGCAATTAAATTTATGGTTAATAATTTTATCACAAAAAAATACTCCAGACTCAAATGGCTTCACTAGCGAAAACTATCAAATATGTTAAAATTAAATAATGCCAATCTTACACAAACCTTCCAAAAATAGAGGAAGAAACACTTCCCTGTTCATTTCATGAGACCAACAATATACAAAAAGGATAGTACACCATTATCAAATGAGATTTATGTCAGAAATGTAAGAATGGCTTAACCTTAAGGGCTGGGGATGTGGCTCAAGCGGTAGCGCACTCGCCTGGCATGCGTGCAGCCCGGGTTCAATCCTCAGCACCACATACAAAGATGTTGTGTCCGCGGAAAAATAAAAAATAAATATTAAAAAATTCTCTCTCTCTCTCTCTTAAAAAAATGACTTAACCTTAAAAATCAGTGTCATTCATCATATTAAGAGAATAAAGGAGAAAACCCTTTCTGATGTTACCATCACAACATTTGAAAAATATTTAACAAACTTAGCACACATTTGGGATAAAAACTCTGCAAACTAGAAGAAGCAGACTTCCCCACCTGACAAAGGATAAATATAAAAGAACAGTCATTGAAAAGATACCCTACATTACTAATCATTAATGTAAAGCAAATCAAAACATCAACAAGATACCATTTAACATACATTGGAATAACTATTATCAAAAAATAACAAGTTGGTGAGAAAATATAAAATATTTATATAAAATATAAAAATTGGAATCCTAGCCAGGTATGGTAGTGCATGCCTGTTATCCTAGCAACTCTGGGGGCTGAGGCAGGAAGATCTCAAATTCAAAGCCAGAAAGCCAGCCTCAGCAACTTAGCAAGGCCCTAAGAAACTTAGCAAGACCCTGCTTCAAAATTTAAAAAATTAAAATGGGCTAGGGATGTGGCTCAGTGGCTAAGCACCCCTGGGTTCAATTTCCAGTACAAAAAAAAAAAAAAAGGGAATCCTGGGCCTTGCTTGAGGGAATGATGATGGTGTTGCTGCTGTGGAAAACAGAATGGCAGTTACTCATAATATTAAACCCAATATGCATATGGGATTCAAACAAATACTTATGCATTAATGTTCATAGCATAAGTCACAATAGCCAAAAGATTAAACAATCCAAAATATCCTAATAATGGACAAATGAATGAGCAAAATGTAGTATATTCATAAAATAAGAGTGTCATTCAGCCTTAAAAGGAAAATTCTGATGTATGCTATAACATAGATGAATCTTGAAGAATGTTTGTTAAGTAAAATAAACCAGGCACAAAATGACAAATAGAAAATAGCATGACTGCTCTTATACAAGGAACCTAGAGTGGTCACTCAAAGACAAAAGTAAAATGTTGATTTCCAGGATCTAGATGGTAGGGGAAAATTAAAGGTAGACTTAGGGTAATTGTTCAATGGATACATCAAAGTTTTCAGTGAAACCCCGTTAGAAGATCTCCTTAAAATGCACATGATCTGCAGAGGTAACCTATTAATCCAATGGTACCCATTAACCTATTAATTCAATGGTACCCATTTGGCAAGCAGTTTAGACTAGTTTAGATTAAAATAGTTTAGAAGTGGGTCAGACTTTTTGCTAGAAGGCTGGGATAATTAAGTTCAATTACATTAGTGTAGTAGAGGAGAAAGCTGTGACCTAAAGAAGAGCCATGAGAAGTGTCCATACCTGCAGTAGTGAGATATGCATACACCAGCATAAAGTGATAGATACTAAAGTCACTAGACCCTGGCTTTTCAAACTGCCACTACACCAAAATTGCTTTGTCGTGAAATAGAAAAGAAAATATCCAAATGCATCATATTTCTTCTGTGAAATAATCTTTTCAGAAACAAGTATATATATACATTCATCATACAGTAGGTCAGAATGTATAAAATATATTTCTTACTGTGGGTCATGTTCAAAAATGTTTCAAGGTCATTGCACCAGTTTGTAGGCTTCTTTTGTTTTATTTATTTATTTGTTTGTTTGTTTATTTGTTTGACAGGATCTCACTAAATTGCAGTCTCTCCAAATTGCTGAGGTTGACCTTCAAAACTTGTGATCCTTCTGCCTCACCTGTGTCTCCGCCCCCTGCAGTTTCTAAGCTCTTTAAGTGAACAAAGTCTAGACCTTCTTTTATTCGCCATTACAATTCCAGAAGCAACACACGGCCTGGCACAAGGCAAATGCTCAATAACATCTGTCAAGAGATGGGCAGAACATGGTCAAGAGACCATCTAGAATGGGGAGGAAACCAACACTAAATTTCACCTATTTAACAATTTTGGTTTGGTCTATACAGAATCCTAAATAAAGCCTTAGGCTTTTCTCTACAGAAGATTCTTTCTAGGGGATTAATTTGTAAAACCTGAAACTAAATTGAAACATCCAAGTCCTTAATAGGGAAGCCAAAAATGACTACTCGAGCGCACCCCCTAGCGGTCCCTTTTTACAACCATTCCCCCTGCAGAAGTAGCAGGAAGTGGTGTGCCTTCCATCACCACCTCCAGGCACGGAAGGACTATGCTTCCCTACTCCTAACCTTAAAAATCTTTCAACTGGTGAAATTGAGAGCCCAGTATCAATGTCAAACAGGGAAGTCTAAACAAAAAGAGAGAAAAAAATAGACTAAAAACCAAAGTGTACTTTGATTCTAGTCTAATATACCAGAGAAATTGTTAACCTGTGATCACTGCTGTAGTCTGCCAGTCAAGCCCTGAAGCCATGAAAAAAAAAAAAAAAAAAAAAAAGCTGTCGAACAACAATGAAGCGGCTCAGTTCTACAACAGAAACTTTCAGCTTCAGTATGAGATGGGGTGAACATTCTATTAATGAAAATATTTCTTTTCAAGACTGAACCATGTTAATCCCTCCAATTTATACATCAACTCTGCAGAAGTTCCCCGAATTCAGGGTCCATCTGACTCAATCATCTGGACCCATCTAAGAGAAGAGAGTAGAGTGAAGTGGGCATGTCAGAGCACAAACCCAGTACAAGAATGAGGGGTTGGAAGTAGGTGCTGGGAAGCAAATATCTTCTTTCCCATTAAGTCTCCTTAGAGTTTAGTACCTGTTTCCCAAGTCCAAAAAAGGCAAAATTTAAAAAACAAGAGCTTGTGATGGCATTCTGAGACTATTCTCTCTCAACCAGAAAGCCCTTAAAATGAAAACTTGACTTTTTTATAACCTACATTGTATATATTCTAAACTGATTTTAGCCACCAAAATGTTCATCTCACTTCCTATTTCAGAACTGCTTTCTCTTCTCTCTATATTCTAAACCTCTACCCAAATATTGCCATTCATCCAGCCTACTTTGTGAACACCCTATGATATTACATCTTTTCTAACTTTTTCAAGAATTCATATGAATTACTTGTGCTGTATTACTCTTCAATTCATTAGAATATGGCTGTATTTTCCAAAATAAAATCCAACAATTTTTATGAGATTTTTTAAAATAAGTCCTTTTACAGAAGTGAAAGCAGTTGTTATTTTACTAACCATCTCCACTAAAATTAAGTGATTAAGGTAATGGGAGAAACAAAGATGTTGATTTTCACAATGACTGAAACAAGAAGATGAAGGTAGAGGAAGTAAAATATTCTCAGGAAGCTAAAATGAGAGTTAACAACAGAATGAGATTTGATAGAGGTACCCAAATATATAGGTACATAAAACTGACTAATCATTTGGTTATAAATAAAATGTATAAGTATATGTGAGGGCCTGGCATATAGCTTGGGGTAGAGGGCTTGCCTAGTATATATGAGGTGCTGGGTTCAACCCCCAGCACACACACACACACAAAAATTAAGTACACATAAATCTCAAAAATTCCAACTAGCCAACGAACTAAGAAAAAAGAATAGAGCTTTCTTACATAATAGAATAAAGCAGAATAGAATTTGAGCTCCTTTAATATTTTTTAAATCTGTAACATTTAAGAACTTGAATTTTATAAATGCAAAATGGGTGTGTAAAGGTAATCCAAATAAGACAAAAAAGAAGTTTTATTTTTAATACACTGTAACTATTTATTCATTCACTGTAACTATTTTTTTTTCTTGTTCTAAATTTTTTACTAAGAAAATAACCCCTGCCAGCATTCCCTCATAACGCAAATATATTATGGCTCTAAGGGGAGCCCGGAGAGTGTTTATTAATCTAGGTCCAAAACTGAGCTCCTCCCATGTAAATTTGAGTGGTAAATGTGAAATAAAAGAAATAACTGACAAGTTAGAAGGCAACAGAACTAAGAGAAGTGGGAGCCACCTTCCTGACAACAGTGGATGTGGGAAACCAGGGAGAGGTTTAGGGCTACAAGAAAAGATTCATTTGAAAGAGATGGAAACCAGGGAATAAAGAATTTCAGCAAGAATGAGGTCAAGGAAGACCTCAGGAACAAGACATGAACTAAGTAGGAAAATCTAGAAAGTGACCACTCAGAATGTTTCCACCAGGGCTGGGGATGTGGCTCAAGTGGTAGCGTGCTTGCCTGGCATGTGTGCGGCCTGGGTTCAATCCTCAGCACCACATACAAACAAAAGATGTTGTGTCCTCGAAAAACTTTTAAAAAATAAATAAATATTTTAAAAAAAAGAATGTTTCCATCAAAATGTGAGTCTGTGCCCAAGGGATAGTACTAGGAGACCAAGGAAATGTTATCACTCATACATTAAGAGTATCTACCAACTAAATTAAAGATAATTGCCTGGTGCATTGGCACACACTAATAGTCTCAGCACTTGGGAGGTGGAGGCAGGAAGATAGTTTGAGCCCAGGAGTTCAAGGCCAGCCTGGGCAATATAATGAGACTCCCCACCTCAAAACAAAAGATAATAATAACTAAGTTATTAATCTAAGGGCTTAGAGAATAAATAGAAATATGAGTGGAAATTAAATAGAAAATAACAGTTTATTTTTTTAAAAGAATTAAACTGAGTCAAGCAGCACTGTGTAATAGATCTTAATTTATCTAATAAACTATCCACAGATGATTTCCTTCCCTGAGAATTACTCACTTTATGCATTATATAATTTTTCCATCCTAACATAGTCTAATACTGACTTAAATTATAGCCAAATGCAGAGAGAAGAAAGGGTGAAAGCTGAGTCACCTGCCCTCTTCCCCCTTCTCCCTCCCTTGCTTCACCCCCTCATCTTGTTCCTTGCTGGTAGTGGATTAAGGGATGGAAATTAAAGTTATCCCTGAACAAAACCTGTAAAACTTTCCAACTGGCCCACCCAAAACTTATTTTAACACTTACCAACATCTCCATAAACATACAGGCCCTTTGGAGGTTTGCTCCTTGAAAAAAGCTGCAAATTAAAAACAAATTATAAATCTCCATCATGAATATAACTTAGTATAGTAATACATATAGTATTCCTAATTGTGTCATATACAGGACATAGAAAGGCTAATATACACAACAAATAGGGGAAAAATGATGCAAAAGTCTGGGAGGCCATATATTATTCAGCCTTAAAAAGGAAGGAAATTCTGGGCTGGGGTTGTATGTAGCTCAGTGGTTGAGTGCTTGCCTCCCATGCGTTGAGGCACTGGGTTCAATCCTCAGCACCACATAAAAAAAAATAAATAAAATAAATATATTTTTTTTAAAAAAAGGAAGGAAATTCTTTTTTTCTTTTTTTGGTAACAGGCATTGAACCCAGGAGCACCTACATTGAGCCACATCCCCTGCCTCTTTGTTTTGTATTTTATTGTGAGACAGAGTCTCACTAAATTGCTTAGTGTCTCTCTGAATTGCAGAGGCTGGCTTTGAACTTTCTATCCTCCTGTCTCAACCTTCAATCTTCTGGGAATACAGACCTACAATACTGTACTGGCCTGGAAGGAAATTCTGTTACAGGATACATTGTGGATAAACCTTGAGGACATTGCATTAGATAAAATAAGTCAGTCACAAACAAATATTGTATGATTCTACTTATATGAAGTACTTGGAACAGCCAAAAATTAGAGACAGAAAGTAGAAAAAGGGGCTGTACAGTGAGGCATAATTCCAGGAGGTTGCTATAACTCAGGAGGTTGAGGCAGAAGGACTGCAAGTTGAAGGATAGCTTGGGCAATTTAGTGAGACCCTAATTCAAAATAAAAAATAGGCAGAGAGTGGTGGCACAGGCCATTGGTTAAGGGCCCCTGGGTTCAATTCCTGGTACCTAAAAAAAAAAAAAAAAAAAAAAAAAGCCAGGCACAGTGGCACAGGCCTGTAATCCCAGTGGCTCAGGAGGCAAGACAGCCTTGGCAATCTAGTGAGGCCCTAAGCAACTCAGTGAGACCCTGTCTCTAAATAAAATATAAAAAAGGGCTGGGGATGTGGCTCGGTAGTTGAATGTCCCTGGGCTCAATCCCCAGTACCAAAGGAAAAAAAAAAAAAAGTAGGAAAAGTGGTGGACAGGAACTGCAAGGAGAGGAAAACAGGGAATCTTGTTGAATAGATATAGAATTTCATTTGTGGAAGGTAAAAAGATGGGTAGTGGTGATAGGTGTAGAACATTATGAATGTATTTAATGCCACTGAACTGTATACGTAAAAATAGTTAAGATACTAAGCCTTGCGTGTATTTTACCACAATTTAAAAATTTGGGGGAGGGGAAGATTGTGAAGCCCCACTGAGGATTCAGTGCAAAAGGCAACAGGCAAAGCAGCCCAAAGTAAGGGCTCCCAAGACACATGACTTGAACTTACATCCCCTCTACAACTTACCCACCATGTAATTGTCCCCTTGTCTCCCAGATTAGCTTCCCAAACAATAGCAGTCAGGCACATTCTCAGCAAGTAAGGGAACAGGAGAAATTTTTTTCTGGAGAAAGTGAATAATCTCCAGAAAAAGACCCAAAGGCACTTAGGTGTGGACCTGGATCCCTACCAGATCACCTAACAGTAAAGAATAGTCAAACTTTCTCCTAATCAGCTTGCTAGTACCTGAAAAAACTAAAATGAATTGACAAATTTTTTAAATTAAAAAAAAATCAACAGCCACAAATCAACAGATTTTTTTTTTTTTTACTTTAAGGACTGAAGATGTAACTCAGTGGTAAGCACTTGCCTAGCATGTGTGAGGCCTCAGTTCCATCCCCAATTCAAAAAAATAAAAATAAAAAAAGATAGCATTGAAAAAGACTTTCAAGATAAAAAGAAAAAGACCAAAGCAAATGTACTGAGGGAAAAAATTCAGAAGAAACAGAAGCATGCTGAGAGCAAAAGTAAACTTCAAAAATATAGGTGTAACATAAAAATGGCCAGCAGGCGTATGAAAATGTGCCCAACATGTTTAATAATTGGGGAAATGCAAATTAAAGCCATGATGAAGTATCTCATACCTCTTAGGATGACTTGTATTAAAAAGACAAAAGATAAATGTTGGTTAGAGTGTGGAGAAAAGGGAACTCTTGCACACTGTGGGTGGGAATGTACATTGATAACAGTATGAAGGTTAAATTAAAATTCAAACTATTATAACACCTACAACCATTCTGGAAACATGCCAAAGAAAACAAATCACCCCCTCATAAAGATATCTGCATCCCTATGTCTACTGCAGCATTATTTACAAGATCCAAAAAACAGAAATAACCCACGTGTCCATCCACAGATAAATGGATAAACAGATTTTTTGTGACATACACATACAATGGAATATTATTCAGCCTTTTTTTTTTTTTTTTTTTTTTAGTTGTAGTTAGACACAATACCTTTATTTTATTTAATTTTATGTGGTTCTAGGGATCAAACCCAGCACCTTGCGCTTGCTAGGTGAGCGCTCTACCATGAGCCACAGCCCCGGCCCCTTACTCAACCTTTTAAAAAAGGATCCTAGCCCAGCATGGTAGCCCACACCTGTAATCCCAGTGACTCAGGAGGCTTTGACAAGAGGATCACAAAATTCAAGGCCAGCCTCAGAAATTTAGCAAGACCCTCAGCAACTTTGCAAGATCCTGTCTCAAAATAAAAGTAAAAAAGGGCTGGGGAATGTAGTTCTAATTAGCACCAGAGAAGTCAATAATCTGGCCAAAAAAAAAAATCTCAAAAGCTAGATGTCAGAAACCAGTCCATAATGCTTTTGGTTTTATTTTATAATCTATGGTTTCAGGCCAATTTGCTTCAGAAACCTCTCCCTAAATCCATAAGGCTCCTTCTAGACTTCATCCTTGTTTAGGCCAGGCAAAAAGATCTTGGTGTTGGTTCTGCCACCTGGATGGTTTCCCTGTGTTTCGCTGCATGTTAACTCTCCCATCTATTCTTACATCTCAACTGAAAACAGATTTCCACTCCTGCCAAAACCTCTTAATTTTTCTTTCTTTCTTTTTTATATGAGCATTATTGTGCACTGGTTATTCTATTTTCAACTTGCCAGAAAAAGCATTTATGCTTTTAAACAATTTTAGAACAACTTCAAATTGGACAACTTGCATAAAACCTAATAATCTCTGAACATATTCTTTGTACTAGAAATCTTTTGAAAGCAACATTCTGTATTAGGTAACTGGGAACGTCATGGCAATTCATAATTCTTTGAAATACATTTTGCAGGAACCGTTGAAGGAGTGGTTTTACTCTAGTACTGTTCACATGATATAATTAATATACTTTGAATAAAGGAAGTTTAGGCAAAAAAAAAAGTGAAGGGTGAGTAAAGATGGCAAAGTGAAAAAATCAGTGCTGGTTTAAAAAAAAGAGTAGAACCCATGATCCTATCTTCTCTTTTTCCCACTCAATAATTCAATATATTTTAGAAAGGGTACTTTGCAGGCTGGGGTTGTGGCTCAGCAGTAGAGCACTCACCCAGCACGCCTGAGGCCCTGGGTTCGATCCTCAGCACCACATAAAAATAAATAAACAAAATAAAGGTATTGTGTCCAACTAAAAAATAAATATTAAAAAAAGAAAGGGTACTTTGATAATATTCTATCTTACATGCAGAATTTATGTTATATTTATTTTATAGGAATATTTATAAAATGACAGACTCTGCCATCTAGCACCAAAGAAGATCCTCAGATCACAGTAACTTAATATGACATGAATATTATTTAAGATGCATATTTTGCCTGTAATTCTAATTACTTAGATACCCAAGACAAGAAAATCGCAAATTTGAGGCCAGCCTTGGCAACTTAAAGAGACTCTATGTCAAAATTAAAAAAACAAAAAACCTTTAAAAGGGCTGGGGCTGTAGAACAGAATGTCTATAAGGGCATGTAGAAATGTTTAAAAGGGCTAGCTCAATGGTAGAGCACTTGCCTAATGAGTGAGGCCCTGGGTTCAAACCCCAGTAACATGTACGCATGCATACACACAAGCACACAATGCAGATTCTAACCTAAATAAATTGATGAACAAAATGGATAGCCTTCTGAATACTTACTTTAAAAAAAAGTGGATACTTTTCTACCAATAAATGTTAAACACAGTCTATCTAAATGACATTATGTATAGTAGTAACCCTGGCTTACTCTCAGTGAACATGTTAACTAATAAATTAGAAAACAATAATAACTAATAAATATAGAAAAATTATAGCAATATGCCCTAAAGAAAGCTATTTAAAACTTATAAATTGTTTATTTCTATAATTTCCCTTTCAATATTTTCAGACTTTGGTTGACCCCAGATAAATGAAACCATGGATAAGTGGAGACTATTGTACTCTTAAGACCTTTCATTTGGGGAGGCAAGCTAATTTTCTCCTAATAAATTTTCAGTCTTCCAACAATTATTGAAAGTATTTTAAGGGATTTTAAAACCTGTATGTTAAGGGAAAACTCAGAGGATCAAATAGAGATCAGCAACACTATTTAGAAGGCTGTAAAATGAGTGCTAAAGAAGTTCTTAAATTCTTTTTTTCACTTGTTCTAATCAGTTGTACATGACAGTAGAATGCATTTTGACATATCATACATAAATGGAGTATAATTTCTCATTCTTCTGGTTGTACATGAGTTTAAATTCTTTATTAGTGGTAGTGATTTCAAGGAGAGGCAGGTTCACACAGGAACCCACATCGTTTGCATGCTCCTACTTTACATTTTCTCACAACCTACCCTCATTTTTTAGTTTCATTAAATCTCCTTTTTTATTGTTTTTATAATCTTTTAATTCTTATAATTTAATCCTGTGTCTCAGAAATCAAGTAACTATACCACTGACTATGAACTCCACCTTTGCATTGCTCCTCAGCTCTGATTATTCTCCAGCTGCTCCTCTCCCCCAGATGTCTTCTCTATTCTGTACCCCAGGAGGCTAACACTGATGGCTGGTTCCTGGCTGGTTCAGACATACCTGAAGGAGATG